GAATCGCACCAGGGAAAAAAGTAGTTTTAGTTTTAAAAAAGGTTATGAAGAGGGACTGGGACTGAGGCTGGTCTGTCCCAGTGTGGTCTGGAATGTGTAAATCACTGGCTTCTTAGTGTCCTTGGTTAGTTTTATTTTTAAAGAATGTTATTGAAAACAAAACCTTGTGATTTATTAGCTGGCTACAAATTGCTGAAATCGTTTGGCCTTGTATAATTAATTAGTCTCAGTTTCCCTTCTTCTATTTGTCAAGGAATTTCCCTGGCTTCTGACTATCCTGCCCCAGTACTAAAATATTAGCAAGCCCTGTCCATTCAGTGTGCACAGGGCCATGGGCTTGGAGTTGGTCTGGAGGCTCCTGATGCCTGGTGTTAACCCCTCAGTTGCCAGGTGCGGGAATTCTGGGTCCTGTGTTGGTGAAGACCAGACAAGCAGCTACACTGGGGGTTCTTCAAAGGCTTGGGCCAGGGGGTTACCAACCGATATGGAGGCATTTCTGTCATGAGCAGATGGATGCACAGGGCTTGGTGTTGGTCTTGGCTGTGGCATACTCAGTCCTACCTCCGTGGTCTAGAACAAGGTCACCAGAGCAGAACAGCTGTTCCACAAAGGGCCGTGAACCTGCGCCTCTGTCTGTGTCCCAGGCAGTTTCAGTGCCCCAGCCTGTGCTCTGTCTGTACCCGGAGGCAGTTTAATTGCACCCCACCCAGCCTGTGCTCTGTGGGCTGCTCTGCCCAGGATGTTTCCTCCCATACCTGGGGTGCACTGTTCAGAGGGCAGGGCAGAGTCTGCTAGATTGGTTCAGCAGCTTTCTCTTTCTAATGGTGGAAGGAGCTGGAGAAGGTGGATTCTTTGGGCTGGAGCCCCAGGGCCTGGTCTCCACAGATGTCCCTTCAGCCGAGGTCAGGCTCTGCTTCTCCACTTCCTGGGAGCCACCAGCCTCTGCACAGGAGGAGCTCTGGCACCCATTCTTGGCTCCTGCAGCAGGGTTTGGGGCTCTGAGCAGCTGACCCCAAGTGCAAACTCTGAGTGCAGATTCGGGGTCTGCTGGGGCCCCTGAAGCTTCTCTGACTCTGTGCTTAGAGACACTCCAGAAGCCCAGGCCTTTCAAAGCAGGTCAGTTGGTTTTGAGGACACCCGTGGGTCAAGAGGACAAAACAGGGAGCAGCCTGCTGTGTGTGAGGAGGAGGCTGAGAATGAGGGGAGGCTGGGGTTGGCGTGGTGGCACTGGGTACTAGTGTGGCTCCTGGAAGCCCGGGAGAACCTCCAGGGGCATCCTTTCCCGGGAGACAGCAGTCTTCCATGGAGAGGGAAGAAGAGGACTCGCCTGTGAGTCAGGTTGACTGGGCCCTGGCTGTGTGCAGGGCGGTGTCCTTGGTCTGAGCAGGAAAGGGGGGACACGGGATTGAAAGGAAGGTGAATTCAACCAGCAGTCAGGAGCAGGGCAGGGTGCCTGTGATGGGAGCCACAGGCCCCCGGGAGGGTGTAGTGCGTCTGATGTCATTCAGTGGTCTCTGTTCGCAGTCAGGGCAATGACATCATGAGCAGGAGCCAGCATGTCCTTCATGGTGGGGTGGGGGACTGGGTCTGGGCCTCTGTCCTGAGGAGTCAGCGTGTGTGTGTGTGTGTGTGTGTGTGTGTGTGTGCGAACAATGGAGGTGGAGGGATGGTCCCTCCCATGGGCCCCAGGTGCTGAGGAAGGAAGGGCCTGGTTTTCTGGGCAGTGGGCCTGTGTTGTGGGTGTTGTAGGGGTGGGAAGGGAAGGAGTGGTTTTTCCCAGGCAAACCTAGATGTTCTCTAGGCGCACAGAGGCCTTCAAAGGGGCAGGGAGGGGTCCAGGCTCAGTCCTCTCTGGTATCAGGGTTTGC